AGTCACAAAGGGATGACATCTCCTAAATACAGAAAAACAACAGGTAAAGCTTTTAATGCTACTCAAAGCACTAGTAAAACATTTCACTTTCAAAAGCTATTGGATAACTCCTAGCATAGAGACGAGATATCAATGAGGGAATAGGAAAAGCAAAACATGCTAAAACCCGTGATCTGTTTCTTCTATTTGTTTGTGGTTTTTTTCTGGTACCTGTGGATCATCAGGGTGTGATAGCTGCTGTCAGAAACATATTGGTCAGTGCTGTTCAATTCTAGGTGCAGTTTACAAGGCTGTATTTGCCAAGGGATGGCCAAAGATGACAGGGAAACAAGGAAAGATGTGGCAAAGTTCAGCTACACTTGTTGGCTTTGTAACCGATATATTTAAGCTTAGCCACCAAAAATAGTAGATTTGCTCTGTGTAAATCTCCAAGAGACTGAAGAAACAATTCTGAATGAAAGTGGATTCTCCCTTAGGGACTTCTTTCAGCCCCAAGCCAAATTACTTTTTTAATGGGGGGTGTTAGCCCTCCAGGGAAGCCATAAATATGTCCATAGTGAGTGGTAGTGGGTTAAATATTCCCAACTGCCCTATTACAGGAATCCAGTAAAGAAAACAGTAGACAGTTCTCCCTAGTAAAAATAGTAGTAGGTGTTTTCTAGCAATCTAAGTGATACTGCACAATTTATTCTTTAATATCTAGTTTATGAAAATTTAGTGTCTTGGTGGTTGAAACTACTGTTCTTTGAGTCATGGCTGGTGCAGACACTTTAAGTGCCTCTTAATAATTTCGTATGGAATAAGGGAATGGTTTGTGTTGGAAAGAATCTTAAACATCACTTGTTGCAACACCTTTGCAGAGGTCAGGTACATGTTTCATTAGACCAGATTATAAATGCTATCCAGCACTTGGCCTTGAACACTTTCAGGGATCGGGTATCCACAACTTCCTTGGGCAACCTGATGCAGTGCCTCACTGCCCTCTGAGTAACACTGCCCTCTTCTTGACATCTAATCTAAATTTCTCCTTGTTAATTTAAAACTGTTCTTCCTCGTCCTATGGCTGTCCATGTAAAAACTTGCTCTCCCTCTTCTAAATAAGACCCCTTTAGGTACTGAAAAGCTGCTATTCAGTAGCTGTTGTCACCCCAAAGCCTTCTCTTCTCTAGATGGAACAATCCCAATTCTCCTCCTGCTCTGTTCTATAGTGGACCAGCTTTCTCTGTGCTTTTTTTTGTTATTGATATATCAGCAGAAGCTGTCTGTTGCCTTTCCCATCCCTTGCGTGTTTCCCTTCCCAGCTGTGCCCTTCCTAACTCCCTCTGTGCCTTTGTCCTCTGTTCCTCCCTGGCAACCTGTCCTTGCTGAAACCTTCTGTAGTGGTTTTTTAAGTTTCGTGCCACTCAGAAGTTACTCCTTCAGCCAAACTTGCCTCCTGCCTTACCTCCTTGTTTCTTCACACTCTATTCATATGCTTTAGAGAAGTTGCTTTTTAAGTTCAGCCCTTTCTGCTGAGTCTCTTGGCATTTAAGGTAATTGAGTTCTTCCAGGCTACCACTTACCAATTCCTTGAAAAAGCCAAGACAGTTGCTCTGAAATCCAGGATCTTTATTCTGCTTTTTGCCTTCATTACTTTCCTGAGTGTTTCAAATTCTTATTTCTCCTCATAGTCACTCAGTCTAAGGCTGTCATCAGCCTTTATGTCCCTATCAATTTCTTCCTTAATTCATACAACATCCACCAGTGCAACTTCATTACTTAAAGGAGTACCTGCAGAAAAAATAAGTCTCTGATGCTCTCTGAATTTCCTGCACTCTGCTGTTCTGCTCTGCCAGCATATGTCTCAAAATTCCCCCATGAAAACATGTCATTATGAAGTCTCTTCCGGTTGTTTAAAGGCTACATCCATTTTCTCTTCTTGACCAGGCAGTCTATAGTATGTGCACACCATGTTAACCCCTTGATTGCTACCCCCATCATGCTACTCCATGAGCCATCATTCTTGACTTCTTAGATATGGTGGGTTGTTGAAATAGTGGGATAACAGTGTGCAATGTTTTAAGAAAATTTTAGACACTAAGTAAACTGGTGGGAAAATATGTTTGCACACAAGAGTAATATCATCTTTTGCTCCTTGAATGACCCGGGATGAGTAATTTCCCTTCTTTGCTTCTCCAGGTCTCAGACTGTGAAGTCTCTGTGGTACAGACCTACCATAAGATAGATGATGTGCAAGCACTGCCACCTTCCAAAGATTGCAGTCATCATTGCACTTGTGTTCCTAAGTGTGACTTGCATCCTCTCTTCATGGAGGCTGAAGTTTGGTGATACAGAGAACCTGCAAGAACACTTTCCAGTGAAAATGTAGGAGGGGAATGTCCCTATGCACAAAAGAAAGATTTGGAAGGAAACATGGTTGCCAAAAGCAACATGTACAGGATTCCCTCATTACCAAGAATATAGTGATTTTGGGCATGACAGTGGAAAAGATCATATCCTAATTTGCTCTGCTAAGTGTAAGGATTTTGAATTTCTGTGAGTTGCACAAGTAAGCTGTCTGAGACAACAGCACAGGATTAAGGCAAAAGGAAATGTAGATGAGTGCATGATGAAAATTAATATTAAATTGACCTGTTCAAAGTAGTTATACATATGGAAAGACAAAATATTTACTGTATTTTTTGTTCAGGAGGAATGTTTACATACTTTTGAACATCTGACCTGTGCTTCATTTTTCATCAACCAAGTTAAGTCTTATTTCCTTTTTTGTATTATGCTGTAGGGCTTCCTTGTTTGGGTTACAAAACATGAAAATTCTCAGAGCACTGTTCAGTTTTCTCATTACTGTCCACAGAGGAATATCTATTTTTAGTCTCAATTATGTGCATAAAGACTTTAATGAGGAAAAAATATTTTCTGCCCTATCCTACTTGCAGTGTCCAGGTATTTCTGTTCTGTAATGTTCACACACACACACACACACACACACTTACAATTCTCTGTGTTTTTCATTACCAGTAGCTAAAAACTACCTGTTGACAGGTTGTTCACCTTAGTTTTCTGCTGTGAGAATTGTGCTGCCTTTCTTGACGAAAGTAGTTTTAAAAAGTATTTTAAACCAATATGTGCCTACTGGCAGTGCTGGGGTCAAGTTTAGCTACTACCTTTTCTGCAACTTCAGGTTGCCCATGTCTGCAGATCAAAAGATAAAAGACAAATGGCTTAATTAGTCTTAATACCATTTTGAGCCTAATGCTGTAATCAGTTGATCAGGTTTACACAGGTACTTCATCTGGCATAAAACCCTACAAAAATAAAATGGGCTTCAATGGACAAAGCTGGGGTTTGCAAAATCCATCCCTTCCTAATATCAGTAGCTGTGTCTTGTTTTAAACAAGACTGGATTTACTTTGATTTCTAGATTAGTGCAGCTTACACTGAGCAGAAAATTTAATGCATCTCATTGATTTTCCCTGTAATACTGTTGATACACAGGTCACTGCTCTAATAATTTGTTTTACCATTAGAATTCTGTATGCAGATCTAGTCCCCAAGGATATCAGTGTGTAACCAGATACTGTGTGATCTAATCAGGTACTGCAAGAAATATATTATCTCTTCAACACCTAGAAGTAGAAAGCTTCATCAAAATGGAAAATTTATTTAATATTTAAAGCAAAATGCAGTTCAATGAGACAACCATGAGAAGCAGATGTGTACAAAATTTAAAGACATTTCTCAGATTAAACAAAATCAAATCCAAGCCAGAGTCTAGGATGACTTGTCATAACTACATTTGTTATTAAATAAGAAAATGTTATAGCTGCTTCTTCAGTTTATAGGGTTTATTGCAGTGCAGGTAAAGTAGCATCACTCTCAGAAATTACTGACTAGCAGAATTTAATTAATGTGATAGTTACTTGCTACAGCATGTATGCTTTGGAAAGCAATTTTGAAAAGCACCTGCAAAAGCGTGGGTGACAGACAAGACCAGTGCTCTGAACTCATTTTGATGTAGGATTTGGATCTCTGAGCGCCTAGTACTGCAATTCATTTCCAGAATACAAGTCCTGCTGACTTTGAAGGAGTTTTGCAAGCAGTGTGTCTCAGGCTGAACAGCAGACCTGCTTGCTGCTGCGTGTCTGACCAGAAACATCTACAGCTGGAATAGCAGGAGTGTGGCTCTGCCAGCAGCTGGACAGTGTTTCTGTGTAAACTGCCAGGTGCAAACACCAGGTGTTCAGCAGGGTAATGGTTGACAAAGGTGATAAGCATCTCCTAGGGTCAGCTCATCTCTCCGTATAACTGCTTTCTTGTCGATGTCTGAATGCTGAGCACTGTTAATTGTGGCTTTTGTCTGAGTTTCTGAATTTTATCAGTGGAATGCAATGCTATTCTTGGCTCTACCTCTTGTACTTATTTAGCAAAGGAAAGTAGAGAATTTTAGAAGTAAATTTAAGAATGAAAACCATTCAGTAACCTTGTGTATGACCAGATGAGACTTGATTTAAGATAGAACATAAGATATTTATGTTCCTTGACATTTTTCCAACTCCTATTTTATCTGGCTATAAAGGTGTGTGTGGAAGGATATTGGTTTGTTTTAGTTTTTTCCTTTGGTTCTACAGACTAGACAGTGCACAATTCAGTGTTCAGGGCCAAACTCTCCTCCTTGGCTCAAAGGATTTATTGTGTGACTAGCTTTGCTACCAGAATTGCTTTGATCTTCAGAGACCACTGGTTTCATTGAGCTTAAAGGCATAAGTAAGAGCTGGAAGAGAGTGACTGAGCATCCAGACAAGCAGTGAAACAGACTTTCTGTCAAGTTCCTACAATGTGTTTTTGGGGCAAATGCTGCCAGACAAATGTACTGTTGTTGAGGGAAAGGGCAGGGGAGGTGGTTGGTGGGTATTGGTACAGGTCAGAAAATTATTTTCATTGAGAAAAACCCACTAAAGGCTTTTAATATATTTTTTATGTTTTTCTCTCTTGTGTTTTAGGGTCTCATGACTCTTTTAGCTTCTATATTGATGAAGCCTCTCCAGTTGGGCCTGAACAGCCAGAGACGGTCCAGAATTTTGTGTCAGTTTTTGGGACTGTGGCTAAAAAGCTGATGAGGAAGTGGCTGGCTACACAGACCATGAACTTCACCAGCCAGCTGGGGGCAGGTATACGGTATTTTGATCTCAGAATTTCCACCAAGCCCAGAGACCCAGACAATGAACTCTACTTCGCTCATGGTTTATTCAGTGCCAAAGTCAAGGAAGGTCTGGAGGAGATCAATGCGTTTCTCACTGAGCACCCAAAAGAAGTGGTCTTCTTGGACTTCAATCATTTCTACGGGATGCAGAAATGCCATCATGAAAAGCTTGTCCAGATGCTCAAAGACACATACGGAAACAAAATGTGTCCTGCTATATTTGCCCATGAAGTCAGCCTCCAGTACCTGTGGGAAAAGGAGCACCAAGTGCTAGTGTTCTACCACAGTCCAGTGGCTGTCGAGGTAGCCTTTCTGTGGCCAGGCCAGATGATGCCAGCTCCCTGGGCAAACACAACAGATACGGAAAAGTTGATTCAGTTCCTGCAGACATCAATCACTGAAAGAAGAAAGAAAGGCTCCTTTTTCATATCTCAAGTAGTGCTGACACCAAAGGCTAGTACGGTGGTGAAAGGAGTTGCAAGTGGTCTCAGAGAAACGATCACAGAAAGGTGAGTTTGTGGCTGGTAAGGTGTGCTGACAGTGCTGGATGTGTGTTGGTAGTTTTTACAATTCCTTTTAAAGGCACTCTAGCAGATGCATTTCTTCCATGCTACTGTGGGCTACTCAGAACTTGGCATAATCCTAAAATATTTAAAGAGAAACACATTGAAGGACAAGCTTCTGCATCTTGAAAGAAAATCTGCCACTGAAGCATAATGAGGTATGAGAGGATTGGCTTAACCTTCTCTTTTTTTCTGAATGCAGGTTTTGGTAATTTGCTTTGTTTTCCAAATGTCGTTTCTTACCATAAACACTGAATATCATGTCTAGGATTTCCTTACTGGAAAATCTTATCTGTATGATCTAGACAAATCTATCTGTATTATCTATATAATTTTTTGTGCATCAGGCTTCAGATATTAGATTAAAAAAAAAAAAATTGTCCTGGTTCATCAGCAAAGCCTGGTGCTGCAGGATTTGCTGTCACATACCTCAAAAATGCATGGGTTCTCTGTCTCTATACCATCATGTATGGTATCAAAGACAGCAGGACACCATTAGAGAGAATTTGACTCCTTTAAGTCTTTCTTCATTTACCATACAGGAAAGAGATGGCAGACCATCGTAGAGCTTCTGTACATTGACTAGCTTGTTGACAGGCCATTAGTTGTTATATTACAAAAAAAGCCACCTGTGCAAGACATGCATTATTTATACCATTCTGACTTTGATAAATCACAGCCAGTTTTGAGCTTAAAGGCATATATATGTGACTATGTTTTTGACAACTTTGTAGGAAAACTGAAATTTAATGCCAAGACACAAGAGCTATTTTCTTTTTCTCCTTAAAAATAAAGAAGGGTTGCAGAATGTAAAAAAAAATTCACAGAATCACAGAATTTCTAAGTTGGAAGGGACCTTTAAGATCATCGAGATGAGCGAGGACTGTTGGTAAATTACAATGAGGGTCAGTGACCTGCTGATGTTTTGCTCTCTGCATGGATGTTCCTATGACAGGAAGGTCTGTTGGGAGCATATCCCCTTCTATTAATTGAAAGATGCAGTGTCTGCAAAGAAAGCATGCCTTATATTTGAGAAAGGTTGAGCTGTTTGTACAGCAGCTTTCCAAAGCAGCTCTTAACTTGAAAAAATAGGTAAAAAGTGGTGAAACGCTGACATGGAAGGTTTTATGAGCAGTAGAATGTGATTTAGAAGTGCTTGTGAGACTGCACTTGCACCTGTTGGTAAAACTTCACCTGTGTTTTAGGGGCTCGATCGGACTGGGGGGTCTCCCTCTCTCCTGAGTCTGAAGAGCACTTCTCTCTACTAAAACACTGCTTTGTTAATGGATTTTAACAATAAACACCTTGTTAAGGAACTTCTTCCTCTGGTAAACGTCTTCCTGAGTGTTCTTTAGAACAAGAAGTAGGACAATCAGGAAACTAACAGGTTGTTCTTAAACCTTGTTGTATCAATCAAATACCATTTCCTTCATCTTTGGCTTATAATGTGCTTTTTAGAAGCTGTTTGTAAAGCAAAGACTTGAAATAGATGCTGAATATGTTTGACTGAATTTTGAATGTCCAGAGCTGTTGAACTCTTTGTATACCTTTCCCAACAGCAAATCTTGAAATTGTAACTACCTTCAAAAGTCAATATATAATTGGGCTGAAAAACCTGGAAATGTTGTTTTGCCAGATTTCTGAGATTTTTCACATGATCCCCAAGTGTGTAGTCCTGTTTCTACGTGAAAAGTTGTTTCCTTTTTTTGCATAATTCTTTTAGCCATTATGAGAGAAATAGACCTTCAAAATAATCTCCAAGGCCAATATTTAGTCTTCCAAGTATAGCATTTTTAATTTTTATTTTTTAATATAAAAATAGACTGTAGGAAGAAACAGGCTTGGAATTTGTGATAATGTTGATATAAACTGAACCTGTATTTTGAGTTAACTGCTCTAAAAGTAAACATCAAATATATTCAGAAGTGCTCCTCATTTTATGATGATTCTGTTAAAAATAAATAGGCAAGCAATTAAAAGATGAAGTACAATTTGCACAGTAGACTTGTTGTCTTCAATCTCCCTGCCTTAATGTTTCAGTGGCTTAAAAATATGTAATCCACACCAAAGGTAACAAGACATACATTCCAGCTGTGCTGTGTTTGGCACCTCTAACCATCACTCAGTAAAAATGTTATTTTGTCCTTTTCAAAATAAATGCCCAGAACAAATATCATCTTTGTGTCCAGGTAGATAACATATGTGCTTTTGTTGCCAGTTGCTGCATAGACTTATACATTATACTGTTTTCTCCTTTTTAAGAAATGCTGGTGGAGAGTCTTACATTAAGAATGCAGTTATCTTGCTTTTGTAAGCAGTTTTGTAACCATACTTGGATGGGGTTCTTCCCTCTCATTGAATTTTAAAAGTTCTGAATGCAAATGAATAAGGTTGAATTTTTTAAATAATTCTGGTGTGGAGGTTTGTTGTTTGGTTTGGTTTGGGTTTTTTTCCTTAAATTAAGTATTACATTTAAGAAATGTTCCTTTTGCATTTTGAATAAAACATATAGTAATTTCTTTTGTTTTGTTTCTCCACCTGCACAGTGGCCTTTTACATATGGATTTAGTTTTGAAAATAGGGCAAAGTTTAGATTCTCACAGATGCAAAGAAACTTGCCAGGTTTTGATCTCTGAAGTTGTTTTTTATAATTAAATTGTTTATGATTTGAAGAGCAGTGGCTGCCTTAGAGGGAGAGCATGGTTTCTCTCAGTCACAGCATCCGTTGGCCTGGGAAATCTGTGAGCAGACTCCATACAGCAATCTCATCCGGACTGCATTCTGCTGTTTTGCAGCTTTCTTTGGGAAAGAGCACAGTGAAATATTCCTCTTAGCCAAGATGGTTGGTTTAATGGCTTTTCATCATGATTGCCTATGGTGGTGGAGGTCCACACTGCAGTAGAGCAGCCTTCCAAGGCAATATATTTCAGGAGGAGAAGGGATGTTACTCCTTAACCTGTTCCCTAGAGTGCAGATATGCAAGCTGTGAGGCCCAAAATAACCCAAATTAAAAAACCCCAAAAACCAACAAAACATTTTCATGCTCCTAAGACTCAATTCAGTGAAGATATACCAGGAGTTTTCTACTGATAATGTTTGCTCACAGGCTTTGCTGTCATAACTGGCAGTGTTCTGTGGTACGGTAATTAGAAAGAAGGAGAAATTTAAAGTTTTGAAGCTTTCTGTCCTGCACAAATACATGAGGGCAAAGCTATTTCTTGTAAGGTCTTCCTAGGACCACAGTTCAATGTAACTTGGTAACACAGATTTCACCTTCACTTCTTGAATGAGGAGAATTGCTTGCATGTGTGCACATTATGTTTCTTAGATTTGATGAAAAACTTTGAGGACTATCAATGTGTTTCCAGGCTTAACATTCTGTCACACACACAATTTAGATGCCAAGAAATTCTCTTTGATTAGCAAACAATATATGCCAAATTTGCTCTGCTCATTGAATTAACTTCGCAGTGAGGCAGCTGCCGTCAGTATAGCTGAAAGGTGGTTGTGAGACACCCTTTTGATTAGTGTAGAGCTGTTCCTAATAATCTAGTTTGCTTTCTGATTTGCAGTGAAATTACTAATTTTATCTATGACACTTGAGACAAGCATGATACTCTCTTTGTTGTCTCTGTTGTTTATTAATGTAGCAGAAGAATAGATCTCCTTCAGAGGATGCAGAAATCCTGTGGTACTTGTAAAGCTTTCAAAAAATAGAAAGTAAACATATACCCCACCAATTGTCACTTGATTTCCAAATTAATCTCTAAGGATAATGTTCCCTGTGGCTCACATATGACTAAATCCTTGCCTACCATGCTAAAGCTTCCTCCTTAGCAACCAAACCAAATTAAAAAAAAAAAAAATGTCCTGCACATGAGAATAAACCTTTTGAAATGGAGGCAAAGCATCCAATTCACACTATTAACAGAAGGGGTGGTAAGTAGGTCACAGAAACTGTCAGGAGAAAATCCATGTCTGAGTACAGTCATGAACTAAGCAGAGTCAGATTTAGCTAGAGTATGGATATTAGATGATTAGGTGGATATTGTATGGAAAATTATTCCTGAAGTTGCAAGAAGTAGGATTTTTTGAGTCAGTTACTGATGGTACCACGCCTCCATCAGCTGAATTTTTGAGTTTCTGTGTGACAGGAAGAGAGGGAATTGATCATATTTTAATCTGCACTCCATATTGACTGATGCCATTCTTAAACTATTTTATATGAAAAAGAAAAACAACAGAAATGGCAACTATGTTTTCCTAATTTTCTGCATCCTTCCTGATTGTAACCTTGATGTCTGTCTCAGTTATAGGCTGCAGGAGAGCAGCAGGTTCCAGTGAGCTGGTTCCAATTCTAGGACTTGAGAAGCTGATGTGTCAGCTCTTTAGCTGCTGGGAGGTGAGGGGAGACTCAGTCCCTCACTAATGTGTGCGGTACAAGCACACCTGACCACACTGCCTTGGGACGCAGCTGTCTTTTCCTTTTTTTTCTTTTTTTTTTAGTTATTATTTCCTGACCACAGAAGGCACAAAATGGAATTCTGGTATATTAGCAGGCTATTCAAAAGAACTCTGGGCAATCCAGACAAATCCTTAGTATTTCTGTTCTTCCTCAAACTATCCTTAATTACTTTTCCAGGCTTTCTAGACAACAGACTATCACTGTGTTTCCACACAGAACAGCACAGGGAGATTTCATTGGAAGAATCTATTCTACCACATCAACAGGCCTGCACTATGAAACCCCCAATGGGCTGTGTATGTGTAGTGGCATTTCTTCATTGGACCATCTGTCTGCATAAGAATTTTAGTATAGCATTCCCACAGGAAGGGCTCTGTGGTTGTGTTTGGTGGCTCTGGTTTGAACTTGGAACAGTACTAAATTGTCACAAAATACAGGAGCACAGGTTTTTAATAGCTTTGCTAAAGTATTTATCTACATA